TCAACCTTTACTTTTACCTATACTTTTTTCCTGTGGGCTTTTGTGGGTGGAAGTGGGAAAAAACATAATTGTGACAGGTGGGAGCAGGAGAACATGATTTTATTTTTATTTTTTTTGCAGGAGCGGGACTGAAAAAGCTGTCCTGCACAGGTCTCTAATGTGAGTGTCCATTATTCACAAGCATAGAGAAAAATTTAGATGACATCTAAACTGATATCTTAATTCTAATCCAAGACCGATGTTTTTGTCTTTCCAGATGGGCTTGAGGCAAGTCAGTGCAGCAGTTGTTTGGCTATACTGGCAAGAGCTTCTTGCCTGGACGCTTCATCAGAGACAATCACTTCTAGGTACTCTACACAATCTTGAGTGCTTGCCTGCTGATTCTAATGTCTGTATTAATGATATTGATGTTATTGATCATCACTTTTTCACTGCAGCATTTCATAGGCTTGGGAAGTTGTGCCATCAAGTTACTGATGGCAATCTATGCCTGCAAGACCTGGAAAAACACAGTGCCCATTGCTCACAAGTTGGACGTGTTCCACCAGTGCTGTCTCAGATGCATTCTCTGCATCTTTGCCGTGTTTTAAATGAAGAGATCCTGCAAGGGTAAAAACCACAGACTTTCCGCCATTGTGTCTTAGCATCGCCTCCAACTGGCAAGCCACATTCTGTGGCAATCAGATCAATGCCTAGCAAAAAACACAATGACATGGATGCCGAAGGTGAAGAAAGCCAAATAAGACCTGGCAAAGTATGTTCAAAGAGGACTTAAAGCAAGCTGGGGTTAATTGGGAAAAGGCAGAAGCTCATGCAGCCGATTACAACCAGTGGAATATGCTTGTGCCTTTGTGGCAAAGACGGATCTAAAGAAGATGATGATACTATATATAATATGTGGCTAATAATAATGAATATGTGGCTCTATTGCAACAACATCAAATTTGAAAAGCCACTTGAAATGATAGTACCCTAAAAGACAAAAATAAAAAATAAAATAAAATAAAATTGAGCATGTTACATTGGCAATGAGGCAAAATAAAGTTGATTCTCTTGTAACATCTTTTGTTACTTAAGATACAGTATGTACTTGTTGGCCATTGTTGAACAAAAATAATTCTTAGGCATTAGTACAGGGCATTTGCAAGGGCGCTAGTGTAATGTCAAAGAGAACACTCAGAAAAAGAACTGATAAAAATTTTAGTACTTAAAGGGAGTTAACTCGTTAACTGAGGTTCGGGAGCGAGGCCACGCCTTCTTCCACCCTTCCTTCAGCCATTTACAGCAATACGGCTCTCGTGTTTCTAATAATTCTCAATAGCTACTTTTTCTCCCCTCTCTCCCTCCCTCTCCTTCCTAGGAGACATACTGGGGCACTCTCGACTCTGAACTCTACTGTCGGACATTCGCAGCTCAAACATCCCTTCACGCCATCTTTGCGGAGCCCCTCACATCTAGCTTCAGCATGCTCAATTATCGCCCCCTTCAACCTCAACCATCCTTCTCATGCAAAACTAAAGTCTCAACAGCTTATCCGCTGCAGCTCCACCCCTTCAATTATTCCTAAGCACCATCAAACTCATTTATCTAGCAGGCCATGGAGCTCGGCTCGCCAAAGCTGATACCACCAACACCTTCAAAGTATTGCCTATCCATCCAGATTTCTAGCGATCCTTCGGAGTCTTCTGGAAAAGTCCCTATTACTTTGCTGTATGCCTCACTTTTGGCTGCAGAAGCAGACCTAGGATTTTGACTCTCTCTGAAGCACTATACCGGATTCTCACCAACAACCACACACTCCCTTACGTCCTTCACCTTACGGATGACTTCCTAACGTTACACCTTCATCGCACCACCGCGATCAGAATTTTCAACACTAATCAAGGTTTTCACCAAACTCAGCATTCCATTTTCAAAGGAGAAAACCTCAGAGCCTCGTACTGCCATCAAGTTTTAGGCATCACCCTTGACTCAATTTCATTTCAAGCATCTCCACCCTCTACAAAAACCACCGAATCTCACTGCTTCGTTCCAACTTTATATTAACAGATAGATATACAAGCGTCAGCTACTAGCACTTCTAGGCCACCTCAACTATGCCATCTGGATAATTCCTCAAGGGAAATCCTTCTTGTCCAACCTTCTGTCTAAAGCAGCAGCCATCCCATCTCTACACAACAGAGTCATATTAAATGATGCATGCAAATGGAAATGCGCCTCTGGCAACAATTCCTCCCATCCCAGAACAGCATCTTCTATCTCTATAACAACTACATCATTCATCTCGATGACATCCAACTATATACTGATGCAGCACAGCGCAGAGCGCATGCAAATAACGTCCGAACGGTAGCGAAGCCGGAAGCAAAGCCAGAACAGCATCTTCTATCTCTATAACAACTACATCATTCATCTCGATGACATCCAACTATATACTGATGCAGCACCCTCAATAGGCTTCGACGGCCATTACTGTGGGCGCTGGTTTTCCTCCAAACGACCTCCGGAGTTCAGTCTCCTCAGTCAGCAGTCAAGCGCTTTCTCCACCACATACATAAAATATACCCATTTATCATGGCAGCCATCCTTTGGGGGCACGAATGGTCCAGAAAATCAATACCCATCTACTCGGACAATGCAGTGTTAGTTAAAAATATAAACAAGGGAAATCCCGTTCTGCTGTTATTATACAATTCATGCACAGGCTCACTTAATATCTGCCCAACTGCAGTTCCTGCTCTGAGCAGCTCATATACCGGACACCTTATTCTCATAGCCAACTCATTGTCTCGTTTCTCCTTTCAGAAATCCATAGCCTTGGTCCAGAATCGACATTCATTCTACTCCAGTCCCACTGCGGACCAACAATTCTTACAAACGCTTCTCAAAAGCCATACTTAATCGCATTGCCCCGAGCGTGCTTCAGCGACCTCACCGGCTGGAACAGCTCCAAGCTCACTATTCCTTCTATCAGTTTCCTTTCCATCAACCGACATGCTGCCCTTGCAACTTAATTTCTTGCGCTCATTCCTTCCTGAAAGATCCGAATGTGCTCTTTCCAAGCCTACTTATCAGGAATCAACTTCTTCTATAAACTAACCATTGGCAACAATTGCCCTGCTATCTCTCATTTTCACACATCCATGCTCATTAAAGGCTTTACGAAACAAGAACCTGTGCCAAACCACCAAACGCCTTCCACTAACCACTAACCTACTTAGCCTCTGTATAATCTCACACGATCATGCTATCTGAATCCCGAGACTGTCAAACTTTAGATTCCATGTTCTCGCTAGCATTCTTTGGCTCACACTGACTCCTCTACATTCAATCCTTCTGTCCACTCCTATATTTTACTCCTTAGATACACACATCTTCACCCTTTGAAGAAGCAAACTGACCAATTAGGAACATCATTTATTATCTACATCTTCTGTCTAAACTCCTAAGTCCACTCGAACCTATTTCTGAATATGTCCGCTCAGATACGTAGGACAAACACTTCATAAAGATCCGCTCTTCATTACAAAAACTGGAAAACCGGCCACAAGATTCAGATGCAGCAATATCAGCAACCAGACGTAGAATCTCCGATGAGACTATCAGAATCTGGTCACCACGAGCATACCGCACCTACATCTGCAACAATCTCAAGTACTCCGCCAAGCTCAAGCTTACCTCAGCTTTTCTCAACTTAGGGGGTCCTAATCGTCTGGTCTAAATATACAAATGAGACGATACCCCCACCCTGGGTCTCTACGGGCCATCAATTCCAGACGCCCAGATCAACCTGACCATCATCCTATTCCCATTACCTTTTCATCCTCTTCCTACTCATCCCTAACATTCTGAGCAATAAACTATTCATTAACATATTTGGTTGTGGTGTGGTCCTTGCTCGTGAAACAACATCTATGCACCACTGCTGATATCTGGCCAAAAAAAAAAAAAGGGAAAAAAAAGTGCATTAGTTACAAAACAGACATATCAGTCCACATACTGTACCTATAATCACATTGCAGAACTATTAGAGGAAATCCATACAGAAGCCATACTCACGATACTGTGGCTACTGTAACTAACTGCATCCAACTGAAGAGTAGACAATCCAACTTTCTCTGAATCGTTCATCAATGGCAAAGTGCTCAGCCCTATGAAATGCTTCTGGAAGACTAAAATGTGCTCAAATACTCAATTACTTGACAAATCAGGAGCTCAAAACACCCTGCATTTGTAAGTGGAATCAGGGCCTTCCCTAGCTGATGCAGGGCCCGGTGCGAGGTAGAGAGCGTGGCGCTCTCGGTCCGTTTGCAATCGCGTTCCGGAATGGCCCGGTGGAAATTCTCTTTATGACTGTTTAGGTCAGATGGCATCACTTTAGGAGAAGCTTCCTGTGATAATGCCTGCCTTGTAACTCCTACCATTCAAAGAAGTAGAACTCAAGTCTCAAATCTGTGATAGTGCTTGGAAATTTTGTAAGTCACTATAGCTGACTTAGTCAAAAGTTTTACAGATGTTTCAATAATATTCAATAAAAAACCTTTTAAATTAGTACCAAATTACTGGATCTTATGAATATTTATTTATATTTGCAGTGCAGTAATACAATCCACATTTCTCTTAACTCAGTCATTTTGTAATAATTTGATTCAATTTTTGGACTACATTTCTATGACGAAAAATTGCAGTGCCACTTAAGAATTTTGCCAAAACTAGGTATTTTATAAGGCAGCCTAATGTTACTGCCTATCTTAAGAAAACAGCCTTGACATTAGGAGCATTCCCACAATGCTTTAAAAAGCTGTCTAGCTAGGCAGCTCACTAAGTTTTAGAACAGAGCTATTGTGTTAATGATTTACTTTCATAAAAGATACACAATTATTGAGTCTGCTTAAAAGACAGTATCCTGGATAAAGTGATTTAACCTTAGGTATAATAAAAAATAGCATTGAAGATGCTATGTCTGTGCTGTGTGATATATCTGTTATTAATGTTGTCACCTCTCTTGTTGTCTCTTATTCTTCTCCTCTCTGGCCTGAGCTTTCATCTGCTGCACCTCAATGGTGTCTGGCTTGCGGCGTCGCATATAAAGATCATGGTTTCCCATGCACAGAGCCAGGATACGCTTGTTAATGCGCAGACGAGGTGCATAGAACACAAAGTCCTGTGGATGAGCAAAGGACATGTAGTGCAGCAGGTGAAATACTGTGTATGAATGAATGATTTGATGGTTAAATTTATGATTTTGAATTACCGGTGACTTTTTGTCTATGGGCTTAATGACAAATTTCTTGTCACTGAAAGAAATATTCCGTATCTCACTCCAAGGGAATCCGATCTTAGGTGTCAGCCTGTTGAAAAACAGGAATACTAACATGGCACAGTCCATTGCAAAGAATTTACAACAAATTGAATTAGTTGTATTAGTTGCATTAAAGTTACAAATAAAATATAGATGAAGATGTACTTGTCTGAACGTTCATATATGTTGAGTCCCAAAGCATCAACACCCAACCACAACTCCGATCCTTTTTTGTTTTTGATGCTGAAATAGTTCACTCCATACATCTCCAGATCCTGGGAAATCTTCAAGTATTCTATCATAGCGTCCTCTCTGTGGAGATAAAGCTTCACTGACCATGTACTCAAACAGCTAGTTTTAGGTTCAGAATTTGTGAAGTTTCTACCTGAGCATGCGTTTGTGTTGCTCATGCCACACCTGGATTCGTTCTTCCCACTGCTCTTTAGTCAGTTTGTGTTGTTCTAGAACTCTAAAAGAAGGTATTTATATGAAAGACAGCAGCTTTCATATACTTTCAGATACTATAATGGTCTTAGATGGTGTTAAAAGAGTAGAATAGAGAATAGAGAAGCACCTTTGTGGCAGCAGTTTGTCTCTGCACATATATCCAGGCACGTGATATTCGTTGTTGTAGTCTCCGTATTTCATCTGCACAGCATATGAGGCCAGGAGAACGGCCGTTTCAGGTGGACAGTAGATATCATCGTTCAAGATCCCCTCTTTCACCTGGAGGATGAAAAGACGCTGCGTAGCTTCCTGAATCAGCTCTTCAGCTACGTCCTCAGGGTAGAACTTTGCTCGGAATTTTATCAGCAGTGGGTTTTCCTTTCTGACATCTTAAGCAGTCACCTAACATATAAACACAAATGCATTTGTTAGATGTGTTTCAGTATGTTCTTTTAAAGCAATCAAGTGCTGCAAAGAAAAACTCAGTGTTCACAGAAATACAAAATCTATTACACATTAATTAAGTTGGTTTCTTGTTCTTGCTTTCCGTTTTAAACATGACTGAGTGAGATTTTGCTAGAGTGAGATTTTGATGACAGTTTAAATTAAAAGCTAAATAAAGTACATGCCCCTAATTAAGGTTTTAAGGATCCAACAGTTAATTTGAACTCAATACTGTAGATTCTCCAAATACTTAAGCTTGATTTACTAGATGCACTTTTTTAGAAACACTCACTATTAACATTTCCTAACATCTACACTGGTTATCTTGCTACCTAATATTACGTCTTAGGTTATTTTCCAGTCAGTCAGATTTCCTACCAGCTAAACCTGTGTTGCAAAAAGGAGTAGTATATAAATGATTCAATATAAACAGCCTCTAACTTGTTCGACCACAAATATAAAGCATAAATAAAGTTTAAAATCACTAAATTATAAATAAAGAAGAACAAAAGCACAATCTAAGTGTTAACAGCTCAGAGGTAGGAGTGTTTTGGAGTATCACTTCAGGCCGCTCTATACACCACAATGCAACACAATTGCGACATCACCACAGATCGTGTTTAATTTACCCCCACCCCAAACAACTCTATGATATATGAATATTTTTATTTCATTTTTTATATTTAAAACAGCCCAAGCATACCTATACATATAGACTGCTGCATCAAACTAATTCATAAAGTAAAAGTGTAAATAAATCAAATCCATAGCGCATTCCAAGTGATAAAGGGCTTAGTTCCATTTCAGCCTATTGCAAGGGTTCCACCAGCAGTGGGCACTCGTGCAACATAATCAATGATGTACATCTGAGTGAATGAGATGGAGGGAAGTTAGCAAGGGAATGGCATAAAAAACGATGTGGAACGGAGCCCCTGTGTGTCCTTTCTCCTTCTTCTACAGGTGTGGAACAACATGAGTGACCCCTCTTGTTCTTGGGCTGTTTTAGCATGCTGAGCTAACAAGCCGTTTAGTAAAACACTGATTTCATGCTTTAGATACACTCGACATCTTCCAGCGAGGCACTTACAAACCCATGCCCACATTGCAGTTCACTGCCTATGTCTGTGAGACAGTTGCATTTGGCTGGATTTGACCATACCCAGGAATCCAATCTTTTGCAAGTAGACCCGAATTAATGGCAGAAACCACAAAAATGCTATGTCCCTGGACATCTTTTCGGATTGAATGCTGGGGTGTTTGAAAAACACATGTTGTCTGGACAACCCAGCAGCTTATACAGATGCAGCATGCCCCAAAATTCAGAAAGCCGGCAGCATCTGCTCATCACTATTAAGCAACTGTGAAGCCTAATTTTTGTTACAGTTCTACCAGCTGACCTTATACTCAACAGAAATTCTGTTTCTCTGACTATGCCAAAATATAATACCACATGGTACTCCTGCTTCCCTGCTGTGTCCCAGGGGAACTGCATGGGTTTTGATTATAATTGATCACAGATGATTACATTAGTTTAAACGAGTCTACCCCTTAAGATTACTGTTATAAACATGAGCCGCATCCAAAAGGTAAAGGGGGAGGTGTTGCTACAATTTCTAGCAATATTTTCAGTACTTCTCAGAGAACAGGCTTCAAGTATAACTCCTTTGAAGTAACGGTGCTACATATAACGTTATCCAGAGAAACAAGTGTTAATGATAAATCCTTGTGATGTTTGTACGGGCTACTGTATACAGGCCTCCAGGGCACCATACAGACTTTACTAAAGAATTTGCTGATTTTCTATCTGAGTTAGTGCTGGCTCCAGATAATTAATTGTTGGTGATTTTAATATCCATTTTGATAATGAAAAAGATGCATTGGGATCAGCATTTATAGACATTCTGAACTCTACTGGGGTTAGACAACACATGTCAGGGCCTACTCATTGTCGAAATCATACTAAATATTTAATATTGTCATATGGAATTGATGTTAATTGCGTTGAAATTCTGCAGCAGAGTGATGATATCTCTGATCATTATCTAGTCTCGTGTGTACTCCATACAGCTAAATCTGTAAATTCAACTCCTTGTCATATATATGGTAGAACCATCACTTCTACCACAAAAGACTGCTTTGTAAATAATCTTCCTTACTTATATAAATTTCTCAGCATATCCAATAGCTCAGAAAATCTTGATGATGTAATAGAAACTATGGACTCTCTCTTTTCTAGAACTTTAGACATGGTTGCTCCTTTAAGGAAGATTAAGAAAAACAGTCTGACACAGTGGTATAACGAGCACACTTGTGCCCTAAAGAGAGCAGCTTGGAAAATGGAGCGCAGCTAGGAGAAAACAAAACTAGGGGTATTTCGAATTTCATGGCAATAAATTACCTTCTCCTGCAGAAAAGCATTAAAAACTGCAAGATCTGATTACTTTTCGCCTCTTTTAGAAGAAAACAAACACAACCCCAGGTATTTATTCAATACAGTGGCTAAATTAGCGAAACATAAAGCATCAACAGGCATTGACATTTCCCAACACCATATCAGTAATGACTTTATGAACTACTTTACTTCCAAGATCAATACTATTAGAGATAAAATTGTAACAATGCAGCCATCAGCTACAGCATTGCATCAGACTATAGATCCCTTGAGGAACAATTCCACTTATTCTCTACTATAGGATAATTGCATTTATATTGTTAAACGTGTTAATCATCTAAAACAACAACATGTATATTAGACCCTACATCATCTAAGCTACTTAAAGAGGTGCTTCCAGACGTCATAGATCCTCTTCTGACTATTATAAATTTGTCATTGTCATTAGGATATTGCAAAAATCTTCAAACTGGCTGTTATTAAGCCGCTTATTAAATTAATGAAGCGTGAATGAAGAGGTATAATACCGATCACAAGTGCAGTATGGAGAACCTCAAGGCTCAATACTAGGACTATTGCTTTTCACACTTTACATGTTAACCTTGGGAGATATCATCAGGAAACATGTGGTTAGCATTCACTGTTATGCTGATGATACTCAGCTCTATATTTATTTGCGGCCTGATGAAACATACCAATTTGCAAAATGGAATGCATAATTGATATAAAACCTGGATGACTAGTAATTTTTTACTGCTAAATTCTGTTTAAATGTAAAAAATAAAAAAATAAATTTAAAAAAACATTATCGGGCCAAAATTTGATAGCAATCTTTCCTTTGAAAGCCACATTTCAGCATTTGTAAAACATAATTTTTCCATCTCAAAATATATCTAAATTACGACCTATGCTCTCAAAGTAAAATGCAGAAACGTTAATTCATGCGTTCATGACCTCAAGGGTAGATCATCGTAATGCTTTATTGGGTGGTTGCTCAGCACACTTAATAAACTCCAACTGGTCAAAAATGCAGCAGCTAGAGTTCTTACTAGAACCAGGAAGTATGATCATATTAGCCCGGTACGGTCAACTCTGCACTGGCTCCCTAATAAACATTGTATACATTTCAAAATCTTGCTAGTTACTTATAAAGCCCTGAATGGATTAGCTCCTCAGTACTTGAGTGAGCTCTTACCGCAGTATAGTCCTTCACGTCTGCTATGTTCTCAAAACTCTGGCCATTTGATAATACCTAGAATATCAAAATCAACTGCGGGTCGCAGATCCTTTTCCTATTTAGCTCCCAATTGTTAGGCTGCATTAATTAGGTCAACCGGAACCGGGAACACTTCCCATAATACCCGATGTACATGTCACATCGTTAGAAAAAATGGCATCTATGGTAATATTAATCTGTTTCTTTCTTATTCCGAGGTCATCGTAGCCACCAAATCAAGTCTGTATCCAGATCAGATGGTCACTGACGTCACCCGGATCCAGTCTGTATCCAGCCCAGATGGTGGATCAGCACCTAGAGATGACCTCTACAACCCTGAATGTCAGCAGAGACCAGGACAACTAGATGAGCCCGAGACAGATCCCCAGCAAAGACCACGTCACCTAGATGGCCATCGACACAAGACCACAGGAACCAGATGAGTCCTCTGCACAATCTGACTTTGCTGCAGCATGGGATTAAACTGCTGGTTCGTCTGGCCAGAGGAGAACTGGCCCCCCTGACTGAGCCTGGTTTCTCCCAAGGTTTTTTTCTCCATTTCTGTCACCTATGGAGTTTTGGTTCCTTGCTGCTGTCGCCTCTGGCTTGCTTAGTTGGGGACACTTAATTTCCAGTGATATCGTCAACTTGACTGCACAGATACTATTTGAACTAAACTGAGCTGGACGGTGACATCACTGAATCAATGATGAACTGATTTTAACTGAAACTGAGTGTTTACTGTTGTCCTTTTGTATTATTACACACTATTTTTCCTATTTAATATTGTAAAGCTACGTTGACAATCTGTATTGTTAAAAGTGCTATATAAATAAAGGTGACTTGACTTGACAATCAGTGTTGGGCAAGTTACTCTAAAAATTTAATTAAATTACTGATTACTCCTTTTAAAAGTATTATTTTTATTACCTTTTATTTCAAAAGTAATTAGTTACATTACTAGTTATGTTACTTTTTTTCTGTACATCCATGAAATTTACATGAAAAAGTAAGTTTTGTGTCACCTAGCCACAACATCCCAGCATAAACGCTCTGGATAAATATTTGCTATTAAGGCATCAACATTGACAAACCACTTACTAAATGCAAGCATAGGCTGCTGTGTACATGGTTTGGCATGGCAGAATGCCGGAAAAGGGTGTGTCCCACCTCATTGACCTGTTTTGTTTGGTTTCAGGTGTGTGTCATTAATTACCCTCATCAGCTCCACTATATTAGTTGTGTTCTGTTCTCTGTTTGTCGTCCGGTCTACTACGTTCCTATGTGTGTCTCCTGCCTGTTCTGTCCTGGATTTACCCTTGTGTGGATTTATTAAAGACTATTTGCATTCATCTTCATCTTTTTGTGCGTTTATCTCACCGTAGCTGTGACAGAAGACCAGACCTAGAAATAGAGAAGATCCACGGAGTGTTTTCCTCGTTTATTTTTTCCATTTTTTTTCAGATTTTGTTTTTTGTTATGGATTATTACGCCTCCCAACTCATCTCCATTGCCCATGCTAACCCTGACCTGCTCGACTTCGCCAGGGACTTTAGTGTTTTCGCCGTGTCCTGCCCATTTGATGATGAAACGCTGAGGTCTCTGTTCTAGATCGGGGTGAATCTTCACCACGCCATCGACCCCCCAGACACCACTGGACTAAGTTGGAGGGAGGCCATCATCCGGTGTCTGGGGAGTGTCAACCCCCGATCCGGAACACAGCCAGACGCAGAGCCCAGCCCACCATCACCCCGCTGCGCGGAGCAAGAGCCTGAGCCCAACGCTGACGGAAAGCCACCGCGACCGACGAGCTATTGCCAGAGAGAGTGACAGAGCTGAGGATCGCCCCGGAGCCAGAGCCTGAGACCAGTTGCGAGAGCCGGCTACAGTGCTCGCCATGGGGGAGAGCACCATGGACAGCGAGAGCGCAGAGGGAAGCTCTGCCCACTGCACCATGGCTGAGGGTGAGCTGAGCTCAGTGGAATTTAATTGGGATATATATGCAGATATGCCCCTGTCTGCCCTGAACTATCTGCCTGACACGAATTATCTGTCTGCCCTGAACTGATTAGCTGTCCTGAAATGACCACGGAGGTCGTCCCCCTGTCACTGGCGCTCCCGGTGTTGGGAGTGGCCTTGTGGTCTATGTGGGCTGCACACACCATTCCTGAGCCCCCTGAGCATCCTAAACTCCCGCTCAGCCTCCCTCTCCCACCACCTCTGTACCAGTCCTCACCATCAACACTGCTGTCTCCTGGCAGCCCCTCTGCTCACCCTCAGCCCACCATCTGTGCGGTGGAATCGCAGCGGGTCTGCCAGTCTCCATCGGCGTCATGGCTGGAGGATCCCTTGTCTCCTCCTCCAGCCTCTGAATCCTGGACTCCGCCTCAACCCTTCGACCCAGCGGCTCCATCATGGCTCCTAGCTCCCTCCTCTCCACCGTTGCTCATCAGTCCACCAGCTCTGCTGGGCTCCCTCGTCCCTCCGGCTCCACCTTGGTCTGTCGTCGACCATCTGCTGCCTCGGGACTCCACTCCTCTGTCTACTCCTCGTCCCTCTGTCCCTCCGGCTTCACCTGGGTCCTCTGTCGCTCTGGCTCCACCGCGGCCTTACGGATCCCCGCCTCTGCCTTGATCGCCGGAGCCATCTGCTCCACCTTGGCCCTCCGGATCCTCCCCGTCGCCCTGGCTAATTGACTCACTATCTCCGCATCGGGCTCCACCACCACCTGCTTCGCCGCTGTCAGTTCGCCCCCTCGAGTTGGCAGCCCTACCTCCACCATGGCTCCTCCCTCTGTCAACTCCACCGTGGGCTGCCATCATGGTTGTGGCCTGGGTCACGCCTGGCTCCTCCTGCTCCCGCCTGTCTCCTCCCTTGCTCCTCCCTCCATCTGGTCCGCCCTGGACTCTGTTAGTCGTCCTCCTCCCCTTCATCCGGCCACCTCCACAGGAGCTCCTGCATTTTGAGCGGTGAGTAGATTCTCTGATTGGCCATTATGTTCCAGATATCAACATTGCTCAATGCTGCAAACACGTGTTATAAATAGAAACTCTGCCTATGCTTGTGCCTGTTAATCGTTTTTATGTTATATTAGTTGTTCTTGTTGCTTTTATGCAATAGATGAATAATAATATATGATTTTTTTTAGATATTTTATGTTTAGATATTTCTATTTTGCGGGAATACCACAAATTTTTTTTTTTCTCCTGCATCCCTCACACACGAGTATCTACGTATTCCTTTCACATGTTGTGACCGACGTTCTTGTTCTTTGGTCAATGACAGAGAAAGATAAGCTTACAAACGTTGCAGATGCGTATTTTCATGTTCTTATTGCCATGCATCACATGAAGCTCCTATGCTTCGGTTTTTAAAAGCCAGACAGAATTCTGTTATGCAGTCCATGACGTTCATCAGAATGACAATCTATTTTGTCACTATGCGTTCCTTTCTATCTCAGTCTCAGTCTCTTGCTTAGTTTCATCTCCGTGCATCTTTCCAGTATGGGATGTTTTTGAGACTGATTTCAGTGCTAATGGCAGGCATTAATATGATTCATTTAGGGCTACTTCACCTACAACCTCTGCAGGTGTGGAACAACAGGCTTTGGTAGCATCCATCTCATCATCTCCATCAACAAATTGTGGTGTCATTGCATACATGCTTTTTTGGAAATGGACATCACTAGTCTTTTTGACAGTAGGCATACCATTAGGTAATGATGACCAACACATCCATTGGAACCACGAGGCATCAGTGGCCAGTGGTTGGAGACCCAGCCGATGGACAACATTTACCTGCTGGAGAGGCTTATAGCTTCTCTGGCTTTAAAGCACTTTTTTTCCAGTGCTAGCAGGCCGCCACGTGCCTTTGTGCACAAAGTCAAGAGCGTTTGCTATGGCTCTAACATGGTCACTTCTCCAGTTTGCATCACTAAAGGGATGTTTATGTACTGTGAGTGTTCAATCGGGCTGCAGGCGCTCTGTCCAGGAACTGCCTACATATTCACCAGTATGGAGTTCTAGGGATCTGGCAGGAGTTTGGTAAGGTGAAAATAGATCTGCTTTGGAAGAAACAACCCACTGCTCATTGTGGTTTGCCAGATGGAAATATCCCTCATACAGTTGGTTGGTTTGTCACCTGTATGCCTTTTTATCCCATTTCCAGAATTGTTCAGGGCAGATGCAGGGTGCCTCTGGAAGCTCCACGGTGGCTGTCCAGACTATGGTTTCGCAAGTCTTGCACATACACATACAAATAGCTGATTTCCATGTTAAAAAATAAGGTCTTTAAGATGACTAAATTTAATACCAGAAAACAGGTGCCCATATATCGAAATGAAGGTTAAATATTTCAAGAGGGTTAACAGCTGTTATGTTTAGGGTTAAGGATTGTTTATGAGAATGAAATGAAAAGACAGTAAATCATTCGTGGAAATTGATAATGCAAATACTGAATTTAATGTTCAATACTTTGAAATAGTATATTTAAAAAAAAAATGTGTTGGTATTGCAGGATCATGCTACTTGGTAAAACACTGGGCAGAAAATTTGTCTTTTTACGAGAACATTTTACGAGAATTAAAATTTCTGACATCTGGCAACCACAAGCATAAAAACTTGTGGAGGTCTATAATTTTTGTTCTCATTTTTGTTAAAGAAAATGCATTTTATTAAATACACATCTGTCGAATTGACTGCTGTTGCTTTGTGATTGTCTCAGTCATACAGCAAGTGGTGGTGGGTGAATATTCTTCAGCTGAAAGTGGGCATTTCACAATGAACACTTATGCAGAGAAAATCTGGTTAAAAGACTAAAAATAATATTTGATTATTTATTAAGTTTACATTTCAGTTGTTTCTTTTTTTTTCTCTCTCTTAAAATCTTTTTTTTTAAATGGTGAGGCATGCAAATATGATTAAGATTAACCCGCTTATTGAGTTTCAGCCATGTAGAGAAGCCCTTGCTGTCCTGATACTGCAGTCCAAAGTACCAGATCTCTCGGAGTCCAATCGTTTTCACAACCTTCAAGAGGACAAATGCAGTGATCTCACTGATTGTTCAATGTTTATTGTGTTGCATTTAATGACTTGTGTCTAAATTCCATACAAAATACATACTTGGTCAAAAAGTTGTTTACCAGTTGTACTGGACTGAATGGCAAACTCCAGCTCAGCATCCATTGTAGTGACCCGCACATTTATCTGAAAATACATAATATGCAATAACATATGGCTTTGTTAAAACTATTAGGAAGGGTCAGCTGCATTTTGAACAACTGAAATATAGCAGCATAATTTCTTGACAAGTAACCCCCAAATCAAAGATAACTTCAGAAGTAATGGAGGCCTTTGAGATGAAAGATTCATGGGTGTTACACATTCATAAACCTGAAATAAGCTAAACAAAACACTAGTAATCAGGAGATTCGCATCAACATTTAGATAGTCACATTTCAAAACCCGGGCTTAAAAGCAGGGTTTAGAACGAAGTTATCTCAGGGTTAAGCGCAGTGTGAAAAGCCCCAAAATTGAATATATTAGGATTGTGATTATAACTTTATTTGGCTTAAAATGAATTGACAAGTATTCACAATAACATCCAAATTAACTAAAAGGTTTGCATTAGGCACAAGCTGTGAAAATAGCTGTGAACAACCACATTCTATTTTACTCAACTCAAACAACAAAAAGCGTCTATAATTATGTTTTAAACAAGAGTACTTGAAAAAGATAAAGTTTGTATTAGAGAGAGGGAGAGTAAAAAAAAATGTTTTTACTGCTTTAACACAGCCTATCATATGTATATCATTATTCTCACAAGTACAAAAGTTCAAGATTTTTGAAAATAGAAAAAAATTATCCATATTAATGAATCTGCGATAATAAATATCTAATCAGTACTCACAGACATTTGGCTATATTTTTATAGTTCCTCACGGTTGTCTTCTCGTAGTGGTCCGCTCTCGTCAGAGTCATATGAAAGGACTTGCGATATTCTCCAGGATTACTCTAGTTAATGTGCTCCATTGTGCCTCTAATCCAATGGCAGCCCTGGAATCTCTCTTCAGATTAAAGCCTTGTGTGGGAATTTGACCTCAGATAGAAATCAAAAGGAAAGGAATAGAAATAACATTTACAGTATGCAATTATTTATGAGGATTTTTTTGTTGAGGTTCAACGCAAATGGCAGACATGTAGTCAGCTGTCTGTAGCATTCTGTGTGCAAGCATCCCTAGTGAAAAATAAATGTACTAAAATGTATTTGAAATACATTTATTTCATGCCAAGTATACTACAAATACATTTACATATCTATGTACTCAATAAAAATACCATGCAATTGTTATTTTAGTATACTAAACTGGTATACTTAAAGTCTGCTAAATTGGAACAACTGATTTTGTGCGTAATGCACTTTAATTGTGAGTAAGTGCTGAGGTCCAACTAAAGATACAAACAAGGCAATGATTCAAAAAGGCAACAATTCATTTTGTTCTGAACATTTCTGTTCATCAGGTGATTTCAGAACTCCAAGACAGTAAGAAAACAAAAATAACTGGAGAACATTTGTCTCTCAGGGCTTTAGGTGCAGTCTGCAGCTGGCGTCATCTTCAGCTCCTGACAGCGCAACAGCTGCGACTGCGAAAAGCAAAGGAAATGTGCGTTAGCATGACAAAGGTACCAGATGAGATTATAACACAGCCTTAATGCTTTCAGTGCAACACTGTTGTTTTGCAAATGTTCTCAGTGGATATCATGCATGTATAGATGGCATTGCAGTGAGGCTCATGCTGTCTGTCTGTGCCTGTCACAGGTCTATCACCTTTCTAATTATAACTCCATTCCTCTGGCCCTCCAAGAATGGAAGTTTGGGCTGGTCCATCTGTGGCCTAAACTTAGCCGTGTGTCTGCTCAGATCTGTGTGTGTCTCACTGACCCTCAGCGCCGCAGAGCCTTCATGTGTCTCTCTCTGTGGACACTTCACACTCTACAGGTAAGCTACAATTACAGCAGAAACATGGCACAACAGCCTGCATCACGATCTTTTAAAGGGCCTCCAGACTTCTCTTGGTGGACTGATCCTATACATTTGTTTATTTGTTGCTAAAATACTTACAGCACCAGCAGCTGTTGTTAATGATACATGACATTTGGCAGAGTGTGATTTTACTTCAAATATAACGTGGGCAAATAAGTATTTGCTGTGACGTATACTGGAATAATTACATTTTATTTGCAGATGTCTGTTCATGGGTGGCATTTGGTAGATTGTGCTATATATAGTGGACACCAGAGCTACTTAGATGAAGTTGTCACTGGACAATATCTCAGTAAATCTTTGGTTTTGAGTGTAATGTTCAATTACACAAATGCTTTGGAAAATGTGAAAATGTGTTGCAACTAAACACAATCCCCCAAACATGAAAATATTTTGTTTATTAAATATTTACGGCAGCATAGGCTTGTGTTGGAATATCTGTAAGCAGTAGCTGTGAATGTTCATAAGCAATATGGTAGACAGAGTACAGTTGTAACAGGGTAAAGACAGCTGTAACACCTTTACAGTAACTTTCGTAATCAGTGTGCGCATTCGCATCCGCGCATAATCCACATTCCTGCACAGTGAGGTGAATGTTTTGGGAAGTTGTGTTTTAAATTTACTTCCTTCTCTTTTATCCTGAATTTATTGTTGTTCCTGATAATGAACTGTATGTATTGTAAATGTTCGTATGTCATTGACAAATTAACATGTTTCGTTTGGGGTGCATGCTACTATGTGGAAAAATCAGGCAAACATCCAGAGTGTACTGCAGTGTGCTGCTGTGTTATAATATACTGTATGTCAACTGCACTGATGATGGAACTCTTTATATCTGCCACTAAAAGAGCAAAAATTCATAAAAATACTGAACTCATATATAAGCATACAAAAAACATTACAAATAATCAAGAGTTAAATAGATACATAAATCAGACTCACAAGGAATTTGTCTTGGAGACAGAAGCTTCCAGCACACAGACATGATGACAAGTGACAAGACACAGACGACAAAAACAGTGATTAAAAATAAACATGCACAATAGACAAAAAGACTAGACAATAGATTGTATGTAATGATAGTGGTATGATGATATCAAATTATATCTCTTAGCATATTTCATTTACACTTTTAAACAATATATTATTTAGCACATTAAAACTGTACCGGGTTCCTTGTCTTCATCCATTAACTGCGGAAAATAGGAAATATATCTAAAAAAAAAAAAAAACTATCCTTGTTTATTCTGGTCATTATTTGTGCAGTACAGAAAAAGGCATAAATGTTACAACCGTACTCGTTCAATATATCCAACCGTATATATCAAATTCTAACATTTTAGATTAGAGCAAAACACTATTCACTATTAACTAGTTGCTTATTAGCATGCATATTGGCTGTTTATTAGTACTTATAAAGCACTTATTAATGTATGACTGTATTCTAGATCCTTTAACCCTACTCAATACCTAAACATAACAACACCAGCCTTACTATCCATAAACAGCAAATTAGGAGTTTGTTGAGGGAAAACTCATAATATTGAATATGTGTTCCCTAATCTAAAGTGTTACCATAAAATCTGATTGCTTGGTTGAATGCATCATCTGATGAAATGCATCATCTGAAAGCTGAATAAATAAGCTTTCCATTGATGTATGGTTTGTTAGGATAGGACAATATTTGGCCGAGATACAACTATTTGAAAATCTGGAATCTGAGGGAGCAAAAAAATCTAAATATTGAGAAAATCATCTTTAAAGTTGTCCAAATGAAGTTCTTAGCAATGCATATTACTAATCAGAAATTAAGTTTTGATATATTTACAGTAGGACATTTACAAAATATCTTCATGGAACATGATCTTTACTTAATATCCTAATGATTTTTGGCATAAAAGAGAAATGTATAATTTTGACCCATACAATGTATTGTTGGCTATTGCTACAAATATACCCCAGCGACTTAACACTGCTTTTGTGCTGCAGGGACACAAATCATGCTCACAATCACACTGATGGTCTGAATACCAGGTTATTATCTGTGGGCTGTGATATTAGAAACAGAAGTCATTGGAAATGATTTGCAAAAACAATTTGTATGTTGTAGAGCTTGAGAGTAATTAATTAATTGATTCTTTCTTTCTTGCCATCTGATGGAATGAAGACCGGAGCAGTCCACCAGCATGAGTTTGATGGACATATCCAAGATCTTTTCTCTTCTTCAACCCAAAGAGGATGAGGAGGAGGACACGGGCTGCAGTCAGGAGCTCAATCAGGCCGTGTTTAGAGACGATGACGGACTGCTGACTGATCTGCTGTCTCAGGACAGGTACAGGAGGTGTGTTAACCTCCGCAGCGGATGGGGCGTACCGGTCACTCCGCTGCGCTCCGCTGCGTCTCAGGGTCACCTGCGCTGTCTGCAGCTGCTCCTGGCTCACGGGGCCGAGGTCGACAGCCTGGACGTCAAAGCCCAGACGCCGCTGTTCACAGCCGTCGCCGGCAAACACCTGGACTGTGTGGTTGCTTTATTGAAAGCCGGCGCCAACCCTAACGGCAGCCCGTATAACAACTGCTCTCCGGTGCTCACCGCGGCTCGAGAGGGAGACGCGGACATCCTGAGAGAGCTCCTGCGGCACGGAGCCGATGTAGATGTCAAACCCAAGATCCCAGACTGGGCCTCCAACGCCACGACCTGCCGGGGGCCGCTCTATATTTCAGCTTGTTACGGTCATCTGGAGTGCTTCAAACTGTTGCTGCAGCATGGAGCGAACCCGGACTACAACTGCACCGAGGAAAAGATGCTGAGCCGCATGAAACAGCCCAAAACTGTGCTGGAGATGTGTCTCAAATACGGCTGCGGGCCCCAATACATCCAGCTGCTCGTAGACTTTGGAGCAAACGTCTATCTGCCCGCTTTAATCGTAGATAAAACAACCAGACAGAATGAAGCAGTGACGCTTCTGCTCAAAGAGAGAGGTGAGTCTGTAACACATCGGTGATATCTGCCAGTAGTTGTTCGGAAGAAATGCACCAAATATGCTTCTTTTTTTTTTCTTTTGCACTAAATCTGCACTTGAATCTACTTACGTTAACATGTCTGTAAAAGTGAAGTTTAGGTTTAGTGAATGGCCTTAATTTGTGAGGAGACAAAATATATAATTTAAGTAATTCACTGCATTTTAAAGAAAGAAAGAAAGAAAGGAAGAACAAAAGAAAGATAGATTACAGTGTGTAAAAATGTTGTGTTGTGAAAATAATATAACAGCCAATTGTTTAGTAACAAACAAATAATCAATACTAAACTGAACAGTGCTTGCCTCATTAAATGTTCATGTGTTTTGAACAGCATTGGTGATTTCCAGTAAACCCCCATTCCTCCCAGCCTAAGTGTGTGTGTGTGTGTGTGTGAGAGAGAGAGAGAGTGTGTGTGTGTGTGTGTGTGCTTTGCTTTCATACCTTTCATGCTGTCATTCGTTCCTATGTGACTGTAACATCAAATCCTCTCTATACGCAGTTTGTCCAAAAACACTGATGTCTCAGGCTCGACTTTCTTTATGGAAGTTCCTTCCCATGGAAAACAAAATGTGCTGCATAGATTGTCTGGATATTCCCAAAATACTGAAGGACTATTTGAATCATGTATCCTGATTTTCCTCTTCTGATGTGAAATACATATCTGACGATGGGACGAATATTAATTTCCCTTTTTGTAAAGCATTGTAATATGTAATATTTGTAATATTTTCTGCATTTAGAATTCTAAATACTACAGATAATGTAGCATTTAATGGATTGTTTTATTATTTTGCTAAGATATTTAGGAGTATGTGGTTAATGCAACAATGGAGTAGGTCATGTTCTTTTGTTGATGTAAAGTAAATTAATGTGAAAGAAAAACTGTAATGGTTGAAATGATTACAAAAGTTTGCTTGTGGACCTTCGACAAGATGATTTGCTGTGGTTCCCTGAGCCACTGTGAAATATTCAATGAGCAAGACTGAAATCTATTTATGAAGTATTTTATATATGTTGATTAATTATTATGAATTATATTATACATGTGATAATGTTGAAGTTTACTAAAGGTTATATGCTATATATAACGTGGTTTATTTGAATAATATAATACTTAAAGATGTGAAGGGGAATTCTGCCTCTAGAATGCGATAGCTGTAAACAATGCACTGTTCATTCACTGTGTCCTAGAACAATCGTTTACTACATGATTTGCATTCAGTTTGTTGCATCTGGACATAAATAAACTCTTGTCACACTAATCAAGTCCACAATTCACATTGTTTCAGTGCAGCTTTTTAGAAATCCATGATGTTAATGTTGATTCATGTTAATGCTTTTAATGCCAGTCCACACTGAACAGTTTATAGCTGGCAGGATAGTTTGCCTTTGACCGTACTGGACATATGTGGACAAGGTTGCATTTACATAATTCGTTTTGCAGAGTTCAATTTATTTAAAAAAAAATGGTGTAGTGACAACCTAATCAAATATACACTGCATACAACGCTCGTGCAACATATCAAAAATGCATTTTAAAAAGCTACTTAGCTCAAAAATCAGGCGTAAGTTACCTCTGGGCATAACACCTCGCCGTCAATCTCAGCACTGCCGGCAGAGGGCGCTGTCACCACATGATCATTATTTACCATAGTTTGGTTCAGGGCTGGGCATCTTCGGTCCTGGATAACCACTGTCCTGCAGATTTTAGCTCCAACCCTGATCAAATACACCGCAGTTGCCCAGCCCTGGTGTAGTTACTCTAGTTAATCAGTTGCTTGTTAAATACCCTTCACTTTCCTTTGTGTTTCTAACCTGTGTTTTCACACTTTTATTACCTTTTGTCATTGAAAAAAAAAAATGCATTCATGTATCCTTTTTTCTTTTTGTTTGTTTGTTTTTGAGTGCATTTCAGTGGAGGCACATTTTTGCAATTTAACATTTATTTTGGATTGGTCTAATTTCGTAGTGTATACAATAAAAGACATGCTGTTTTATAAGAGAAGTCACAGACAATTTTGTGCCAGGTTGGACGCAAAATCATTTCAGCACTTCTCAGTCGTTTCTATGGTATCCTCAAACACTGATTGAATTGCTCAGAGTTTGACAGCATGGCAGTCAGTGCATTAAAGGGCTATAATGTGATTTAATGTGTTAACAAGGCACATGTGAGTTTAACTTTGCATTTTATTCAGTGATTAAGGCATGGATGTTGGTATATCCTATGATAAGAACATCTCTGGTTATAGTCTGGTGTGAAAGAAATCCAACGGCCTGCAAAAATGGATGCGCCCGTATACACTTATACCGTATACACTTATTATGTAATTCAACGAACTTCCGGTCTAAGCCCCACCCATTTCCGGTCTACCCAAAACCAGATATTATAAGACTATTTATAAGACATAACTTCGTGAAATAAACAGACTGATTAGAGCAATGGCATTCAGATGACATTTCAAGAGACTGTATCTATAAATGATCTCCCCAGCCACGCTCCAAACACGCACTTCAGAAAAAAATACACTTTTTTTAAGATGACAGATATAATAACTTGTAGCGCAAGACTTAATAAATGCCTTTTGCAAAGAAGCACGATTAAGATCTATCACCATATGATGCGAGTGTTTTACTTCTTTCATTTCTACTATTTATAGCACTTTTAACTTCGTGATCGGACAATCACTGGTGGAGCAGTTTGAGGTCTAGCTGCTGTTGAGCCTGCACTATCACACTGTAGATCTGTGTCAGGAAACTAAGGATGACGGCAATTGTTCTGCGAGATAAAAAGTGATGACATCACACGAGGTGCTTTCTGGACAACAGTCAGAAATAGAGATCATACAGCTGAGAAAACCTGCTTTAATTGTGAGTCAAAGCCTGGTGACTCTCCCACTGATCCCCTTATCAGCGTTTTTTCCCCAGCTCATTCACACAAGAGTTTAGTCTTGCCTTTGGTTTTGAAAAACAAAAAGTGACGCTTTTTTCTTATGCAGGATGTGCATTGTGACAGAAATGGATAGCAGGAAAGCTGCACTGGAAGTGGGCTGAACGTGAGCCGCACTTCACGGCCTTATATCTTCTTTAAGTAGAAACGCTCGTGAAGAAAAGTTGATACCAGTAAAAAGCCTTTGAATGCATGATATGTATGTTGGATACGTATACAGAGTGCCAGCGACATGCTCCAGCGGATATTGTGGCCCTATCATGTTGACAAACTGGAGTGTACTGACTCACAAGGGGAAAGAAAACCCAATTGTCTTTCCCTCACAATGGCGCAGCACAGACAGAAGGGAAAGAGTGTACGGCGGAGATATTTACATGCTGTCAGCCAGGCTTCCTGTCTTTGTCAAGCTTAAAGCACTTGTGTAAGATCCTCTCTTTCCTGTGTCCAGCAGGAAAAAGCCATGTGATTACAGTAGAACTGAAACAGGACAAAAAGGAAGTGTTTTTAAATAGGCCCTCAAACTTCGACCCTAGGTTTTGTGTATTGTGTTAATTTACTATGGAGATTATGACGCTCGCCTCTGCACTGACAAACACACTCGGCATTGAATTCAGTTTAAAGTTCAGTGTCAAATTCACATCTGATTCCGCATGTAAACGCGACTGACCCAGCTAAACGCTGCGCTCCGTCTGGAGCTGGAGTCTTTGTAGTTGCAGTGGAAGCCTGGCAGAAATAACTGGGTCTTAATGAGAGGAACTGGGCGTGTGTGTTTGTGGCGTCTGCTCGGTCTCTGTGGGGCTTCAGGCTGAGAAAACCCTCCAGCGCTCCTGGAGAATGCTGTGGATTAACAATCGGACAAATCATTATATTGGAAAACCACTGCTGACGCTAAAGGAATCGCACAGAATGATTTCTGTTCTTCTATGAGACAAACATTCTATTTTGGTAAGTCCCTCAAATACATTTTCTTATCAAAGAATAGGAATTTCCTGATGTGTGGGTTCATAACATTGTGTCTTGTTTTTGATTAAGTGCATTCATATTTATGTAGAAGTATGAACATTTGGTCACACTTTAATTTGGGGACCAATTCTCACTATTAACTAACTGTTAACTACAACATTTGACTCAATGAACTCCTAACTTGCTGCTCATTACTAGTTAGTAAGGTAGTTGTTAAGTTTAGGTATTGGGTAGGATTAGGGATATAGAATATGTTCATGCAGAATATGTGCTTTATAAGCACTAATAAACAGAATGAACTCCTAACTTGCTGCTCATTACTAGTTAGTAAGGTAGTTGTTAAGTTTAGGTATTGGGTAGGATTAGGGATATAGAATATGTTCATGCAGAATATGTGCTTTATAAGCACTAATAAACAGCCAATATGTTAATAATATGCATGCTAATAAGCAACTAGTTAACAGCAAGAATTGGTACTTAAAATAAAGTGTTACCGAAAATTCTAATAGGATTAGGGTTTGAAATCACACTTTTTATGTTGGCTGTAATTTATTGTATATTCATATATAGTTTGGAGTCAGTAATATATATATATATATATATATATATATTATGTTTTTGAAAGAAGACTAAAGGTTGGATCAAAAGTACAGTCAAGAACTTTAATATTTTGAAATAGTATTGGGATTTTTAAGTTCTTGTTTTCTTAAGCTTTTTTCACGTGATCCTTAAGAGGTTTTTTATTATTATTATTATTGTTATTGTTATTATTATTATTATTCACTGCTGAAAACAGTTCATGAAAAATGTGATACAGTGCTGCTTAATGATACAGTGTGTAATTTTTTTCAGTTTTCTTCGATGAACAGAAACTTTGAAGAACAGCATTTATTTGCAATGAAAATGTTTTGACCACAAACATTTGAATGGTAGTGTATAGCCTGTGTGTGTGTGTGTCTGTGTTTGTGTGTGTGAGTGTGTGTGTG